CCCTCATACTAATGAATTTGGCTCAATAAGGAATTCATATTCTACAGTTCAAAACAAATTTACTATGATTTTCTTCTTGCTTTGCATTAAGAGAATGTTATCTGTTCTTTTTTCTTTGGCAAAGGATAAGGAGGTATTATTGCATATACGTGATCCTTCATCTGGATTCCTGCCTTCTGATATTTAGATAAACATAATTTAATAAACCAGACATATTTAATGTTTCAAAAAGAGCTGCTGTTCACATTTGGTAAAACTTCTTTTGCTAACCTATGTGCAGTAGGATTCTCGTATAAGAGGAACCAGTTCAGCTCCCATCTGAGCAGCTGTTAATGTAGGCACACATTCAAACATGCAGTTGTCTGAAATAGCAGCGCTCTAGACGTTGAAAGTCAAGAAGGGCCAGGTCAGGTTGCAGGGCTGCATGGCCACCCCTGTGAGATGGTATTCTCACAAGCCAGTGAAATCCTTCTCCTGCTAGGAGGCCATTACTGGTCACTCCTTGCACTTCTTACAAGCATTGGGATTGGCCTTTAAGTGGTGATTCATAAAGGTATCACGCTGCTCTGCGTCCCTTCCTGCTGTCTTGGCTCACTGCATTCATTTCCCTCCTGTTTTCTGCAAACCGTATACACGACACAACAAATTCTGTTCCAAACGTCTCCTCGTTCTTCCTTACCCAGAAGGCAGTTTAAAATCACAGACGGAAAGAATGTGTCACTTGAAGTTGTGACTTGTTCACGCTTTGACTTCAGAAGAAATTCTGATGTATTGCTTTTTAGCTATGGCAGTTTCCAGTAGATTTCCCATTCCCTTGGCAGTAATGAAGAACAACAGTTTTGTCTCATCATGGTCAGTAGGAGATACTGGTTGCTTAATGCTTAGTTACACCCATGATTTACAACTATAAATGCCTACAGCGGAGACATGTTTTTCAGGGTTCTGCACACAGACTGCTTCGGCTGCAACATCAGAGCGTTAGTTCTGCTTTGCATAAGAGCACAGACTACACCAGATCACTGTCAGCTGGAGACTTCTAGTTTTCGTCTCAGATTTCTCTGGCAGCGTGACCCTGGGAACACTTCACTTCCCAGCAACAAATAGCAAAGAATCACCAATTATTTGCATTTGTTTCCTAATACTGTGTATTTTAAAAGTGTTCCTCCTTTGAAGCACTTGTAAGAGCAGTACAAAAGATGCCAGGCAACACGAAATTCAGCTGAAGTACTTAAATATGCTTAGGATAACAGGTGCATCAACTACCCTGCCAGTGCAGGTACAGAATTATCTCTACTGTCACCAGAAATTAATTTCATGATATTACTAGAGATTCCAGATTCAAGATTCCACAGTATATCAGCACTTACAAAGTTTACAGAGAATTGCAGGTTATGAAACTGTACAATGACGTTTGAATTCTTCTAGAAAGGCTCAACACCAGGGATGACAACTGTATTAACAATTGGCAACAATTTCTGTAACATTTTGGATCACTTAGGAAATTTTACGAAATGTATCCCAAGTAACCAATCTACCAGAATTAATGTTGAAATGTAAGAAAAGAGCACTGAATGAAGGAAAAGCATTCTGACCTAATTCTTACATCATTTAAGATTTATTTTAATCACTAATTCAAATATAAATTTAACAAAGAGCTGGCTTCAGAAACAGGAACAAGTTCAGAAATAACTGGCTTCAGAAACAAGCTAACTTGTGTGTCAGCTAAAGAAGAAACCAGTTCTGTTAAAAGTCAACTTCAGGTAACGTCTAAATATATGCCAGACTTTGAAGAATTCTGAGTACGACAACAGACACAACTATCCTTTTTTTTTTTTTTTTTTGAGTTTGCAGGGGAGTTTTTACTTGCAATATGTAGTTTCTGGTACTATTTTAAAATGATGCTGTTGAATTTCTGAGTAAGTTAGTTAATTTGCATTTCTGTAACACGTTATGACCCAATGTATTTCGATTAGAAAAAGAGCAACCTAGCTAACTAGCCCATTTAACAATACACTGGAGAGTTGATTGATTTTACTTACTTATTAAAACCAGCCAGAGATTAGTTGACTCATGATAAAATCAAACTCCAGATTAGCTGCAGACCCAGAAACTGCCTAGATCTTCTGTTTCAATACTTTAAACTATGTTCTTTCTCTCATAGGAGCTTGTCATGATACACCTCACAGAGCCAGATCGTGTCCAGTAATGAAATACCTGTTGTATTTTGGCAACCAAAACCAATACCTACCCACGACAGTCACACAACAGATCATCCCCTTCTACAAAGCAAAATACCACTACGAGTGAAAACAGAAGCCCTTGAAGATAAAAAAGTTATGGCACACGAACAAGTTACTATAAGGTAAGACAGGTGTGGTCTTGCCATGGAACAAACGTGAGCACAGGGACAGCCCACTGCAGAGTAGCCTACATGCATTCATTTCATACTCCAGTTTACCTTGCACTATCTTGTCCACCAAGTTGTTTTATGACAGTAGAAAAAATCACTTCATCCCTCCATGATTGTTTTCTCTCTCAATTCCTTATTCCATTTTAGCTCATTAGTCTGAGAACACCTTGAGACAATAATCTGTCTTGGATTTGAAGAGTGCCTAGCAAAATGGAGTCCCTGGGTCAAGGTATCTAGACACCACTGCAATAATAAATAAATCTAATCTTATTGATCTACACACAATCTAAACTGATTTGTGTCATTATGATTAGACAGTGAAACTCCCCAGGACAACAGCTTCAAGAGGAAGTAGGCTAAAGTCCTCTTTCTATTCCTGTAAGAAAGACAGATTGTATTCCTTGAAATCTTGTGTACAGGAGGCAAATTCATTCTTTAGAATCAACCTTTGAAAAGGAAGTTGTTAATGTTTATAGATACATTGAAAGGCACAGCTGTCCTTTTTCAATAACAGAGGTATATACAGAACAAACTCCTCTTTTACTCAGACGTTTATCACATCCTTATTCCAAAGAGTAGCAGCCATTACACAATGAAGTTCAAACAGTGCTTTGGATTTCTTTGAGTTTAAAAACTGACATATGTTAATTTGGAACCCACACATGGTTTTTCAAACCTTTTCAATGTGCAGTTCCAAAACTGCTCATGAATACAGCACAAGCAAAGTACAGCAAAGTACAGCTAAGCACAGGAAAGGCTACTCAAGGCTCAAGCTTGGTTTTCTTGGTTGTATTTTGTACCTCCTCATAGGTAATCTTAAATCTCAAGGGCTCTCTAGATGACATGTTCAGTACCTGAAATCTTAGATGGGAGGCAGACAGACAGACAGCAACTTTGATTTAGTAACAATACTGAAAATAAAACACGCCAATCTAAAGAAACTGTGCTTGAAAACCTCATTTATACTAACAGCGTGGTCGCCATTTCTCAGGGAGGGAACCTCCCCACTGCTGAAATGCTCATTATCAATGCACAACAAATAAACTCAGTAAAATGGGGTAGCATCATTACCGCTCCACTAACGTAATAACAAACTAAAACATATTTACTACATGTATTTATTTGTGGCATTCACCCATACTGAGAATACAATTACAAATTATGCAGATAATACATAATGAAAGACAACATGATTATTCAAGATATAGAGTATTATTAACAGAAATGTACTTATTTAGAGAAGCAAATGTAATTTAGGTATATTATGAGTTTATATTTCTCTGTTCATGAACAGAGGTACAATTGAAATATTCAGAAGAGGAGTATGCTCTGTATTTTTATTTTGGTTTGTTGTTTTTTAAGAGGCTTTCCTTTCTGCGGCATTGTAGCTGCTAGAAAAGTATCATTTCATTAACCTCTAACTTAACTGAGCTCAAGAATTACTCAGATGCAGCTTAGAATGGGGCCCAGCTCAGTGAAGCCCATGTCATGCATCAAAACAAAGACAATGACCCTCTTCACTCAAACCCACAAACAAGAATGAAAAATATACATGGTAGCAGAAGAGAGATATGTAGGTTATTTCTACCAATACTTAACTGTAATTTATAATTTTATAAATGTTTGATGTTATTTAGCAACAATTTAGGAGTGGCTAAGTAAAAAAAAGAATTCATTAGGTTTGCGGGACTCATTTTGTTTGGGGTTTTAAAGGCAACGGCAACAAAGAGAGTTAGAAGTCTAATTAGCATGGGAGGAGAGAATCTGCTTTCTTTGAACACCTCCAACTTACTGTGTGGTACCTTTCTAGCCTTCATAAAAAGAGTATCTAACTGATTCATATCCCTAGTTTATTTACAAACAAAGGATTTCTCAGCTAAGTACAGAATGGGTCAAGATTTCATTTCATATGATGCTCCTAAATATTCACATTTTAAATACTTTTATTCTGCATACTCAGAAAATAATTAATAAGCCAGTTAAGTGCTGTCTGAAAACAAGTGAAATGGAAAGCAATTCTAGAAAGGAATTCTATTCAATCAAGTCCTCTTCACAAACATGAAAACGATACAATTATATGGTTCACTCTGGTCCTTGAAGAAGAAAAAGTTACCCTTTATGACGTATTTCACAAAGACAATGACCTCACAGAATTATTATATACAGAGCAGAATACCGAAATCACTTTTTAACCACCCTTACAAAGAAAGGTTTGCTTAGCTACATTTCAACAACAAAGCAAAATTTGCAGTCTAAGGCTGAAACAACTTTACTTCCAAAGCACAACAAACAGCTTTGTTCTACAAAATTTACTTCAGGCAAGTATTAGCAACATTAAGTTCATCTGGGGAAGAAACACTACATTAACCTAATAAATAAAGGAGTGATCTATACATTAAAGACATAGTAAGACTTGAACAATTTCTCATTCTTTTTACAAACTAGCAGATAGGAAACTGAGGAGGCATTAAAAGAACTATGAAGTTGCAGCTTATTTCTGTCTAATTAACAGAATGACTTATTACGTTATTCAGATTTCTTCAGGAGGACCTTCAAAAGAATATTTTTCTTTCAGCTGAAGCACACACACACAAAAATCTAACAATTATTTTCCCTATGAAGAAAGGTAAATCTAATCAAATTTGGTTCTGTACTAGGATACATTTTTCACGCCCAGGCATTTAATAATCGTTATGAAAGGCCTTTTCTAATCATAATATTTTATCAACAGAGAGGATTATCTTCACATCTTGCTTGCAAGTCAAGATAAGTCAGAGGTAGCTTAGGAATGCTTTAGAATTTAGTGTTTTACTTGAAATGAATTAATCCTTCTTTCAAAGGGGTTAACAATAAGTACAAAAGGCAAACAGTATATACAGCTGCCACTGCCTGCACCAAAAGAATAATCCCAAGAAGCTCAAAATAAGTTTAGAACAGGGAAAAACACGGTGCACTTCTTTGCATTTCCTTCAGTGTACCAGTTCAGGCTGGTTTTCCACAAAAGGAAGCACCCCACTAACATAGTATGCTATTCCAAGTGACAGAAGAGCAATGACAATGATGAGGAGCAGCACCCTCCAGAAGCCCAGGTCTTCCACAAACTCTTGCCATGTCGTGCGGAAACTGGAAAGAACTCCTTCACCTTGCTGTAGGTTTGGATTAAGGAGGGAATGGCTTTCCATTGCACTACAAAGGATTAAAGTTAAAAATACATCAGAGCAAAAGAATGCACCTTTAAGTACGACAGTAATCCTACTAAGAGCAACCGAAACATTCTAAATTAAAAACTAAACCCACCTGCAGATTTATAGCATTGCCTCCGCTAAATCAAGACAAAGCAGAGCAGGAAAAGACTCCTAACTCTAAACTCAGTTGAAAGGATGCTTTATTAATCTGTGTAGAGAGGATTATATTTGGGTCTGTACAACTGCACTGAGTTTGCAAGCTTGCCACCTAGAAGCCTTCAAAAGTCAGTCCTCATAATTCCTACTAAATATGGCTTAGTAAAATCTCATGAAGCATAAGCTAAAACCTCAAGGGGCACAGCTCTTTTTGATAAAACAAATAACAATTTAAAAATAAACTCTGATGAATAAAATGGAAACTTTAACCAATATAATTTAGATTCTGAACTCTGTAGTGATCTTTACTACTCTCCTGCATGTCTTTGTTACAGAGGCCTCTTCTCTAGCATAAAAATATCACAGAAAACAATAAATTTGGATAACAAGAAGTTCAGAAACTTTCTGATCTTCAAGACAAGTTGGCACTGCTGTTTTTTCTACCATATGGTGTTCAGCAACTGCTTTGATGTTTTAGCATTCCACTACCAATCCACCAGGCCCCCTTAAATTGTCAGACTATAAATTAGGGACTGGAACTCTCACTTTTAAATGAGAAACAAATATAACGTTAGAATGAGGCTGTCATCTTGACAAGGAATCGCCTTTAGAAAAAATGTAAGTTGTTTCAGATAGTGCATGGCTTCTTGCATCATTCTCCCAATTTTGCTGGTTTCACAATTAGTTTATAACAGGAAACTTTCTCTGCTGCATGAAAAATCTCACAAAGAATAGGAAAACTTTCTCATCACTTGATTTCTCTGTGTAAAATTTTTGCCATCTGCACAGTCCTACTGCTTCTCACTTGAGTGAAATTACCTCCACAGGTGTTTACAAGATCAGGCTGTAAGGGTATGGTGAAACCAACTACATACACAATGATGTCAACAGTAGAAGGTAAGCAGAGAAAAACCAATTTTTTTCCTCCCTTCTAATTGCTTCCAATTACTATATTCCTAGATATCTCTTATATCAATAATAAAAGAAAACATTTCAGGGAAAAGTAATTTCCAAGCCAAAACTAACTACAGAAATGCTATTGTTCTTGGTGACAACAATAAATTGACAAATGATTGTTATTAGAAAAAGGTCTCATTTACAAATCTCTCCTCTAAGATTACACCACAGAAAAACTTCATGCTATTCATACGATACTTTTTCTTAGGGAGCACAGCCACTGAAGAATAATTAGCCTAAACTCCCACAGCTTGCTGAAGTATTGCAGCATCATGTGCAGAAGATTTCAGAAATTGCCTATTAAACAACTTGTCTTTTTTGTTTTTTAAATATTTACTTTGCTGTAAAGCTACTTTTGCTTGCCCATAGCTGCAGGATTTAGTCATCTTCCTTGCTTATTATGATTTCCCGAGCAAAACAAAGGGTTTATTAAAAGACAGCCATTGGTGTAGAACAGCACTACGTACTCATTAAGTACTAACTAGTTAATACATAACCACAGAGAGGTTAAGTAAAGGTGCAATGCAATTTAAGTGAAAAGATCACATGCTTGCTCATTAAATAGAAAAGGGTACATAGAAAACACTTTTGCTGTTTTATATTACAACCTTATTAAAATCAATGTTATTCAAGATATTTTTTCTCTATTACGAATTACAGCTGCTTAAGAAGCAGTAATGCAGCACTGCACCCCGCAGCAGAGTTTGTGCCACACAGCCCAGACAGATGTTCTATTCTCTTTCCAACACGGCGTGGAAGTTCACATTTGGATGCACTTGTGGGCGCAGTCACGGGTCATGCTGGTCTGTGTAGACGGACAGGTCGCCTGTGCTGAAAGACGGACAGAGCGAGCTCTGCCTCCTGACAGCACAGTGCCACCCCTCTCTGGGAGGGGTGCAAAGCAAGACAAAATAAACTTGACTCAGGAACCTAGATTTGGCCTCTGCTTGCAGAGCAGCAGCAACTGTATGTAATAAGGAGCAGAAAACCTAAGCTAGAGACTGTTTTCAGAAAGAGCGACCGTTATTTCTCCGCAGGCTCATGCATAATGTAAAAGGGGGGGGAAAGGACAGAAGACATTCATCTAAGTGTCTCTAAAATGTGAAAATAATACTAAGAGGGAGGAGTGAAACTGTGGAGGTCTGAAAAGCCAACTGTTACGAAGACATTATTTATTTACAAAGCAAACAGCACACAAGCTTGCTTGCTTTTGCTGCTGTAGGCATCTGCTATTTGTTATTTTAAAAATAACGTATTTCAGACATTTTAAACACGTTCACAAACAAGCTGGGTAGCGCACTGTTTATGTCTCCGTGCCTCTCCCCAAGGAGAGTTGCTGACTTCCTTGCCAAAGCAAACAACATAACATTTATGAAGGTCAAATAACAGAAAGGAAGTTATGTTCATTAAAGGGACACTATCAAATCAGAAATGGGAATTTAAGTGGGGCTGAGCTGTTGGTCCATATGTTCAAACAAAAACAGCATAAAAGCATTTCTGTGTGACAAGCAACTTTCAACTAAATTTAGTTAAGTCAGAAAGGTAATATGCACAAGTTCTTATAATTTATACCCATGTAATTTTGAGAATGATATTAAATTTTCTATTTCAGAGCTTAAAACAGTCTCTCTGATGAGTGGGGTCACCTGATGCATGAGAGAGAACTTCCAGTCTGCGCACTGGGAGTATTTGACATGAGTTCTGTAATTTTGTTGGTTTCACCTTTTCTGTTTGTTCAGCTTAGATAACAACTCTATCTACACAGTTTAGGGTTAGGGTTGTTACCCTAAGAGTTATGTGACAAAACTCCCTGTCTTTTGTGATATAATGTTCCAGCAGTCACAGTTTATGATCACTATTAGACAATATAAAAAACTGAAAATTTGAATAAATTCAGTATTCAAGTATTCTGAATAAATTCAGAGCAAGTATTCCAAACAACATTGATAGGATCCTGCTTCCAATATAAATTAAAAAAAACAACCAACCAAAAAAAAAACAGTACTGGAAAGATCTCTTGCATTATTAATCTCAGTCCCATGTTCTGTCATGTTTACTGGCAATTCAATAATTCCTGCAAGAGAATTAGCCTCCTTTGAAACTTGCAAGACTTCCTGCCTCATCTAAATCCTACAAGAAGGCTGTCTTGGAAGCTCATTGTAGAAAAACACTCCCAATTTTCCATCAAGAAAGTTTTTGTGGTTTATCTGTATCCTTTGGCTCTTATGCTAGCATCATCTTTTGTCTTAAACAGTTATTTTATGTTGCTCAAAACCAGTATTTCTTGTCAGCGACCACACACCTCAGCCTTCACTCTGCCAGGCTTTTGGGAGCTCTAGCTGCCTCCTTTTGCGAGGAGATGCTCTGTTCCCTTGAGTGCTGAAGTAACGCAAAGCTTCTCCACTCTTCTTAAAGGATAAATTAAACTTTTTTGAATGGGGCTAAACAGCATTATAAAACGTGCTACACGGCAGAAGCTATCGTTGCTTTTTACAACAGCACTGGCAGTTTTCCTTCTGTACTGGCAATATCTCATTTTGCATGTTGTAGGACTTCTTTGCCTTTTTCAGGGTAGCGTCAACTCCTGGAACTGACTAATAGATCGAACCTTTTCTCTTATATGCTCGTTTTTCCCTGACGAGCTTCCACTTTACAGCACACAGCTTTAGGTAAATGAAGTGTAATTTTGTGCTACTGAATCACAACTTATTCCTACAAATTTACTCTCCCTTATCATCCCAGGTTTTTGTCTATGCCATCCCAATTTTCCTCTGGGTTGCCTATATCTCACTTCTTAGTATCACTATCAAGCAACTACTTTCTATGACAGTATCATTTACGAAAATTACAAATAAGCACAGTCCCAGAACCAGACTTTTAGGAATTCATTAGTAACTTCCCTCTAACCCAAAACCTTCCCTGAAATTGTCAGCAATTTTCCTCAAATCTTCAGTTCTCCTTTAACTATCTCTTCAGCAACCATGAAATTCTTATTTTATTTCCCATCTCTTCCAGGACTACTACCAATAGAAATTTCATGTACGGCACCATATAAAATCCTTTACTGAAGTTCAGACAGATGAAAAGTCTGCTATACCTTCTTTGCATAGACAATCCATCTTATGGAAAGGATGTCAGGTTAGTTTGTGATACTGGCATTTTGCATTTCACCCCATTTTCCCCTTTGGCTTTGTGCTAATTGGTAGAATACTTATTTTTTGGAGTCTGTAATGGAAAGTGAGTAATTATTTTTAAAAATTTCCACTATAAAATGAAAATCTCAATAGGAAAAGCTCTTTTTTTCTTCCATTTGATCTGTTTAAAGAGATTTTTCTCTGATAATACGAGGCCAAATTTGATATTATCTGTTTTGAGGAATAAACAAATCAAGTCAATAAAGAAAACCTAAAAGTCATAAACATTATTTCTCCTAGCAATCATTTTTGTTTTGTAAATACCTTTCGCTTTCGGCAGTTTGCATTGTTTCCAGCTTTGAGTGAGCTCCTCTGTTAAATCCTTTCACCTCTTGCTCTTCCAAAGATTCCAGCAGTCTAATCACATCTTTATTCACACCCCTTCGTTTTGCAAGAACAAGCGGTGTTGCACCTTGGTGATTGCTAAAATAACCCCACAAAAGGACATGAAAAGAAAAGAAACTTTTAATATAGAAATTTTGTAACATGACAACTCAGCATAACACATTACCATTTATTAAGTCCTCAGAAATATCTTCTGTCATATCAGACAGTAAGACATTCCTATCTATATAAGTTATAGCATAAACAGCTATAGAAGAAAATCAGTATATTTAGGTTTGAAATTGCTCAACTCTTTTACTATAAATAAAATCAAAATTCCTAGTACGCTAATCTAATCGGAGTTTCTGGGTGTTATAGCAAAAAATAAACAATAGACTTATGGCAATGTTCAAGATTAAGCTTAATTTCAAGAAGGAATTGTGCAATCTGGTTCCTCACAGTTCCTTTTCCATGTGGGTATTAGGACATCAGGCAAAAATGAAATAAAATACAGATGGTCCCTCTGCTACTATTAAAATAATACTGAACAGGACCAGAGCTGCCTTCAGACTAGGGATTTTCACCAGAGTTGTTTGAAATGAGGGGTGAAAAAAGCCAACCCACGACCCATGAAGAATCTGGTCTGCCAATAACTAGTTTTGCTGAGTTGAAAACATTCATCAGGGACAAGTGAAAAAGGGACAGATTAAAAAACGCAAAGGTTTTGAAGTTACTACTGGTTTTTGCATGGGTTGTGAATATGTAGAAAGTTCCACAAACAAAGTAATTCAGTTACTGAAATGAAACAGCTAGTTATTTTGCAGCTTGAGAGCTTACATCTGAGCACTGGCATCTGACAGCTGCTGGAAGCCAGAAGGAAAGAATATACAATATTTAAAAGAAGGACTGAGTCACAGACTTTGCAGGAGGGGGGGGAACACTGAAAGGAAGCATTGTTACCAAAAGAGTATGGGAATGAACTGACACACACATATACTGTATTTTCTTTGTCTTATACAGTACAACAATTACAACAACAGAACTGTGGTGGAGAAAATTCTTTTAAAGTAGTCAATGTGATTTTTTTCTTTGGTGCCAACCACCCACACCTGGCTGTCTGGCCAAACCAGATTAGCAATGTCATCAGTGAGGCAGAATTAGCTGCAGCAGCCCGTACCAGCAGCTGCTATTTTTATTTGCTTTGCTTGCTGCACAGACTAGCAGAAGTGGCCTCTTATTGTTTTCCTGCCTTCTTATTTTGTGTTTTCATTAAGTGATATCTTAAAAAAGTTGCACTGCACCAAAAATAGCATTTCAGCAACAGCAGATTTATCTGCAAGGCTCTGGCAACAGGAGATTAGTATATTGTAAAATATGTGCTGGGGGAAAAAAAAAAGTGACTTACCAAATATCAATTTTAAGTCCATTAGAAACCAGAAACTGGATGGTATCCACATGCCCACAGAGGTGAAGGGCTGTGTTACCTTGGTAGTCAGTGGCTAGTAAGTCAGCACCAAATTTATGCAAGAGCTGACAGATGTCTACGTTTCCTCTGGCTGCAGCAAGGTGCAGGCCAGTTCGGCCTCGGCTGTCACGAATATTTGGGTCGAAACCACTCTCTAACAGTCGTTTGGAATAGTTAAAATCTCCATCAATGCAAGCCTGCAGCAGTGGCACGTTTGTCTGGGAAGAGTCGTTTACAAAAACGTAGGACATTGTTTTGATCCTCTCTGGAGCAGGTGATTAACCTGCAAGTAAAAGTGGGAAGAAATTATGGTGAAATCAGGCAAATAAACACAATGCAAATATTTGGTAGACTGATCAGGTTCACAGAATCATAGAATCATAGAATGGTTTCAGTTGGAAGGGACCTCAAAGATCATCTAGTTCCAACCCCCCTGCCATGGGCACAGACACCCTCCACTACGCCAGGTTGCTCAAAGCCTCATCCAACCTGGCCTTGAACACTTCCAGGGATGGGGCAGCCACGACTTCTCAGGGCCACCTGTTCCAACGCTTCACCACCCTCATTGTAAAAAATTTCTTCCCTACATCTAATCAAAGTCTGCCCTCTTTCAGTTTAAAGCCATTGCCCTTCGTACTGTCACTACACGCCCTTGTAAAAAGTCCCTCTCCAGCTTTCCTGAACAGCCCCAACTCCCTCAGCCTGTATTCACAGGAGAGGTGCTCCAGCCCTCTGATCATCTTCGTGGCCTTCCTCTGGGCCCACTCCAGCAGCTCCATGTCCTTCTTATGTTGTGGGCCCCAGAGCTGAACGCAGTACTGCAGGTGGGGTCTCACGAGAGCTGAGTAGAGGGGCAGAATCACCTCCCTTGACCTGCTGGCCACGCTTCTTTGGATGCAGCCCAGGATACAGTTGGGTTTCTGGGCTGCAAGCACACGTTGCCGGCTCATGTTCAGCCTCTCATCAACCAGCACCCAGAAGTCCTTCTCCTCAGGGTTGCTCTCAATCCATTCTCCACCCAGTCTGTACTTGTCCTTGGGATTGCTCCCAAACAAGAATGAAAACTAGCTTATAAACCAACTCTGAAATCTTCCTGTCCTACCTATTAACTTCGTGTGCTGGATTCCCTTCTGGTAACATGGAAAAAGCTCTTTTCAGTCTTACTCAGACCTCTGGATACAGCAGCAAAACTTTGTTACTACAGAAAACTGGTTAAGATCAATGCCACAAACGCAATACGGGTGATGAGCTTTTACCTAGTAAGAGATCACATGTAGTAGTAGTATAGATATTAAAAGGCAAAACACCGTAGATCAGAACTGAAAGGGAGAAAAACCATCTTTCTTAAATCGGGAATCCATAAACAATTCAGTTAACAGACACGGTGATGTGAACTGCAATTCTTACTAGCTTCAAGCAAAGCTACTCCAGTGGGCTTTCCACCATCTGAATTCGTACTTCGATGCACAGTCAGCTGATGAAAATGCTTCATTACTAGAAGTACTAATTCCTTCATTCTGCAACGAACACATTTTTCAATACTCTTTGCAGAACATTACATTTATAGTGCCACAATACACAAACTACTGAACAAACAAGAATAGCAATACGGACACAGAAAACTGAGTGTATTATATGAAATTGCCCACCTGAAAGTGAAAACTGGAAGTGTGTACAAGGAGGTCAACCGTAAAATCAAGTGTGGAGCTATTGTGGGTTCAACTAGAACCTCAGTATGGAGAAGCACAAATGTAGTTTCCCTGGCTTAATATTAAATAAAGGATTAGGTTCTTTTCTGTAACAGGACCTAAAAGAGAAAGATAAATGTTGTTTCACCATGGATTTCTTGATACAGAATATTTCATGAACTATGATTTAAGTTTTGCAGTATAATTTAAGGATGAGTCAAATAACAAGAGTGTGATGACACTGTGTGCTTACGGGACACAGAAAAGATGACTTGAAAACAATAAAGAAAAAAAGGGAGTGACTATGCAAGAGGATGGTAAAATGAGCATGAGGCAATAGTAAGAAGAAATGAAAACATCTCAGAGACTGGACAGCAAAGCTTTGCATTGCCTTAGAGTGGAAGCAAAAAAGAAAAAAAAATCATATAGTAAAATCATATCAGTAAAAATCCTTAGAAAAAATCTCAATACAGACAAGACATAGTTCAAGTGACAGGAAGGAAAAAGGATTTTACTAGATAAGCTTTGAATGGAAACTGAACTGAAACTTCACTTGAAACAGTACATTTCACTTGCCCAGTTTGTATTTAGGGCTTCTGATGTAGCAGTGTTCTTATCATCTAAGATGATCTACCTTATCATCTAAACCTCTTACTAAGATTGCTACACGCAGATTTAAATTTTCTCATCTATATAAGGCATCCTTCCACACCAGTGCACTCATTCAGCCAGGAGAATGGAAACGTGGCCAGTAGCCAAAGAATTCCATTTAAAACCTCTCCATTTTTTGAGTTTATAATGTCTACATCTTATAGCTCTTCCCCCATGTTTTAGATCAAATTCAAGATCAAAGTATACACAGAAGTAATTTCAAAATGTTTACACACTGGTCTGATTAACAGCTGTACCATTTGGGGCTGTTGAGATTCATAAATCTTATTTAAACTTCATTAGGTTATATCTCCTATCTGGACAAATTCTGCTACATGTATCAACACTGTCTAGCTTCCCAGTGCAGGAATGAACTTTTTTTAGTTTCTTGGACACAGAAGAGAAAGAGATAGGAATAACTTCTACGTCCTGGTATCTGTATAAGGAATGATTTTAAGCAGAGTACATTCCCCTAGGCTGCAAGTATGTTTTCAAGCACGTGATGGTGTATCACTGGCTCAAGCACCCTTTTCCACAAGCATCTCCAATAGCAAAAGGCCAGTTGACTGATGTACCATAAAACATTTCATGCAAGACTAATGTCATTTAGGGCACTAACAGGTTTCTTATAACCTTACACAAAAAGAAAGGACAATACACTTACTCATCTTTCCAATGAATATGTTACAAAACCCCTGGATGTTGCAAAGTTAGGATTCCCAGCTGTCAGCAATTTCAATTTTCTTGCCCATTTCCCATCCAAATCATAAATGATACAAGAATTCTTCAACTCCACTAGTCCAGTCTTTGCTGAGAAAAATATTGGGCCCGGTTTCTGTATTAAATATTTGTGACCTTTACCTTCCACACTAAATCTTCCCTAATGCAAGATCATAAATTGTTTAAAACCCTCCAATTATCAGCCACAGTAACAGCATATCAACAGCACAAAACTCTACATTTACTTGATAAATAGATGGTGGTTCGCTTGTAAGATAGTATTTGAGTGTTTAAACCTGTTTAATAAAACAACGCCTAACATAAATCAAGAACAGAATATAACACTGGGAGAATTGTATGTTATTTGAGGAACAGGTAAATGTAAGCTAATGTATCTGTTTTCATACCAGAGGTGTATGTCTGGTAAAGGCTTACTGAATTCCCCGTCACTTCACATACAACTCTGATGAAACATGAGCTAATAATGCCAGAAAAAAACCCGTCACCATCTTATCTTCTCAGGAAAGGATGCACAAAGACTAGTAGTTATCAGAAAGTGTAACTGGAAGTAATTCTGACTCAGTATATCACTAGAATATTTTAGAATTAATTGCTGAAGTGTAGAAGTCTAAAGTGAAACCTTAGTACTTCACAGTAAGAAAGACAAAAACCCCAACAAATCCTTCTTCCCAATGCTTGAAGATTGTGGACTAAGCAAATGCATTAAAAAAAAAAATAAATCTAGACCATCTGGTTTGATTTATCTTTGTGATTAAAAAGACTTTTTCTACAAACACAATTCTATTTCACATATGGCTACCTAACCTATGCCAGATATGAGCTGCATACGAAGCTGAACTATGCACCATCTTTAAAATGCCAGTCCCCGAATGAGAACTTCTTGCCTCAAATTTAACCCAACTTAGCAAAATTTCCGGTCTAAAATTCAGAAAAAAATTACAATAGTCAACTTAATTAGATATTTTTGAATAAACACACTGTGGTTACATTTCTGTACACAGTATGTGTCAAAAAGTTTACTGCTGTAATGAATAGCTCACGCAGTGGATTTAAAAATAAAATTCCAAAGCATTAGCCGTTCTCTTTAAATTGCTTCTGAAAGGTGAATCAGATAACAACTCTGAACCTGCCTAAAAGCTGGTACACCTACCATTAAGCACTCATGTCACAGGCACAAATTAGGACAAACGGACTTGCATTAGTAACAAGACACAAAAGTACTGCAAAATGCGCACCCTGAATATCCCTATAAATTACTATTACTTACTGGAATTAAACAAATCTAATTTGGTTCAGTAAATGACTGCTTCTAAAAATGCATCACTATCTATGGAAAATGTATCTTTTAAATGATACTTTTGTTAAAAAAAAAAAGCAGCTTTGCTGTTAATAACTTGGTACTTTGAAAGAAAATTAGTTTTGTGAAAAAAAGTAAATTCAAAGACGTCCTCCCAAGCAAGGACTCCCATTAGAAAGGCATAATATAAGAATACATTTTTCCCTGAATTTGTACAACATGGATATAGCTTGAGCGCAGTGTACTTTTATTAATAATTTTAGAAATTATGCTATAAGTCACTTCTTCAACGACACATATAGGCTAGTACAGGACACAAAAATCTAACCTAACTGATGTGTTTTCAAAAGGAATGCTTATATTAAGTGATTCTGTAAGAATAATTTACTTTTATTTATTAGAAGTCAGTTCTCTCTAGCTGTACTGTGTACAATGGTAACCCAGCATCACATCTGGGTCTGCTGTAAATGCGTAAACACGTTCACACCTGAAGAAGCCAGGAGTGATCCTGAATAATTAAAACCATAGAGCCAGATGCAAGTTCTGTCGCTTCTTAAACTAGTCCTAAATTTGCACTAACCGTGGACAGTTTTAATTTACAGTAAATATATGCTGCTATCTCTGCCTTCTCAGTAAGTTCAACAGCTACCAAATAGCTCCAGAAAAAGGACAGAATGGCTAGATTGTGAGACAGAATCACTAATGGGACCTGTCTCTCCACTACAAAAATATTAAGGAACCTGACAAGTTGTAGTTAATCACCCAGTCACTGCTGCATAGGATATACCAGTTCTGCGACACTAAAATATTTCCAAGAACATTCAGAAAAACTGAAGTAATTGTCCCTATTTTAAAACAACATGTCAGGACAATGGAACAATATCAGATTGCTCAGATTTGAGACTTCTTA